ATACAGGATAGAGCTTTGTACAGAGTAAGACACATAGAAAACCTGAGTTACGGAGTAGGTATGATTTCTGTAATTCAATGTAGGCCAAAAAAAGGTAGCATTTTCATTTGACGAAAGTGTACATTATTTTAGAATCGATTCCATGTACTCCTAGATCCCTTTTAAAGTACAAAATAAACTTCCAATCTTAATAAAATATTCAACATGAGACAATTTAGCTCATTATCCACGGAAACAATTACAAATTTAAGCAAAATTACTGTAATCTAATATCATTTTGCTAAGTTAAACCTTTTAAAATGAAAATATTACCTATTCAGTTTATCATATTCCTTTATTTTATAAAGTTTCAATAATGAATGCTAAACAGTAAATTAATATCTAAAGTATATATAAGGATCATCACTAAACAAACTCTACAAAATTGATGTCCTGCACCCCAAACGTCTGAATCCTATTATGAGACAAAAATAGATCTTTCTACCACTACACTCACATTCTCAATCTTATTTCTCTCCTCCCTACTCCACAATCCTACCCACTTCATGTTTTCCTCCTTGATATTTTAAAAATTAGAGGTATTAGCTACTTCTCTTTTTCAGTAAGTCCTTCAGCAATCTTTTGTAGTGGTGTGTCTGGAGCAGTGGATTTCTTTTGGTTAATTTGGGAAAACGTTCTTTTGCTGCCTTCGGAATGAAGGCTACCTTGGCAGAGTAAACTGATCTAATGTAAAAATCTATTATATGTGTTTCCCTTGGGTCAGATGCCCTTGGGTCTTGGGTCAGATGCCCTTGTTGCCTTTATTCAATGAAAGCTCATTCTTCAATCTTTTTAGCTTTGATGAGTTGACTTTTTCTAGTTCACATACTTAAAACATATTACTTGAATGTTTCCTTTGAGGATTAAATACCTTGTCAGTTCTAAATGTTCTCTCTCAATTTACAGAATAAAGTAGTTTTTCAAATCAGGAAAAGCTTTCCTAAGCAGTATTTTATTAAATTATCAGTTTCCATACAGCTTGTCTATTTCCTCTGACACCCTTATTCATCATAGTGGAATTATGTCTTTTTTTTGACTCCCAAACATCTTTTATTCCTACCCTTCCAATAGGGCCTTCAATTTCCTATTCAGGAATTATCTATACTTGGTCCTCATGGGATACTGAATTCAAACCCTGTGGAACACTTTTTATCATATCCTCTCTTTCATTTCCTAAGATCCTTAAGGGACCACATTAAATAAAACTGCCAATTGACCTCTTTCTTCTGGAACTTTGTGTCTTGACAAGGGTAGGAAAAAATTAGTGCATGTTTATTAATTCTAGGGTGACCCAGAGAGATTGCTGAGTCATAGAGATCCTCTGTGGCAACTTGAGAGTGCTAGTTCCAATTTCTTCTTCAGCCTTCTCTATGAGTCTGTGGCATTACTATATCCCATTAAGTTTACTTTCTGCTCAATACAGCCACTGATTTCTGTTGTAAAGCAAATAATAATATGCGGTATAGTCATACATGCTATTTTCTACATGTATCATCTTCTCTTGAAATGTCTTGTTTTGCATTTGCCAATTTTCAATATCACTTTTGCTTTGGTTACTCTTATTCTACAGTAATATTTCCCAAAATTTGTTCTGGGAAACAATGTTTGTAACTCAGTGTTAGCAGATGTTACATTAAAAAAAAAGAGGGAGGTTATAGTTAAGTAAGTATGGAAATACAGAGATAAAAAAAAATTAGTTTCTTTTTCTGTAAATTGTGAATTTCTAAGAAAGAATATAGGATGTAACTTTTTCCAAATTTATTTTTAGTATATATACAGATACAGATTTATCCTGCCATATCTAAAGAAACTAGTGGTCTGTAGAACATAATTTGGGTAATGATATTCTAGATGCTATTTACTATCTCCAATGAGGACTTTAGTTTCCGTTGAGCTTATAATAGAGCAATGCTATCTCTTTTATTTATTTTTATTACTGATCATTTAGTATTTGGTATTCATCTTATTTTTATCCCATCCGTTTGTAATTCTCGTGGTTATCTGCACTTTCTTATATAGACTCTGGAAATCTCGTGGCTCGGCTTTTTTAAAAAAAATAATACTACAAAATATTTTAACTGAGCTAGGGCATTTCAAGTTTTTGAATATGTCCCTGTAATCAAAGTATATGTCAACAGGTATTTCATGTTCCTATTGTTCTTTTCGTAGGTTTAGAGGTCCACTGACATTCTTGATTATTGTTCAGTGTTTCTAATTGTAATTTTCCTGAAGCAGGTAATGCAAGTCAGTGGTATTTCCTCTTCTGTTTTTGTAACATAAACGTAAGAATCTTGAACTTACATCAGTGTGGGCCTATATACTTCTGATGGTGATTTATAAGATGTTCTCAGAATACTCCTGAGCCTCAGCGATGAAATGAGAATGTTAAATTATGGTGATTTAGTAGTCCCTCTATGAGATAATTTAAGAAGATGAATCTTCCTAGACTATCTTAATAATACCTTGATCTATAAAAGAGTGTGTAGCATAGAACTTTATCAACAATCTAAAACCAACTAATCCATAATGTGGCCATGTTGATGTTCTTTCTATTAAACGAATGCCCAATTTTTCATTTTGATATGGAGACAAATAGATCAAGCTCAGACTTAGGGTAAAATAATTTTCCTTGATCACATTCCTGACAGCTAATTCTCTTGAATGCATTGGTCAAATGAAAGGCAACCATCAGTGATGAGGTAATAATTGGGGGGAAGAAACAGGAGATGATGGTAAAACAGTCTTATACTAATCGCTTCTCACTTGGCAATCCCACTTTAGAGGATAAATATATTTATTGGCTGATTATAGCTACATTATTCAAACTATAGGAATACTGGAAGCAACCCAACTGTCTAACGTTTAGGGAATAGTTAGCAAAAACTATGCTGAATCTTTAAGAACTAAAATTAAAAATGTATTCTATAGAAACAAAGAAAAGTATTGATATATAAGAAAGGAAATACCTAAGGTAACTTTTATCATAAAATTAAAATACAGAAAATATAGATATAATTAACACAATGAATGTTTTGCACAGGGATAAGGACAAAGCATATATACTAAAAGAATAATTATTTTCAATGGAGGTGTTTTTTGTGGTCCTTTTCTTACTAAAGTTAGCTAAGTAGAGAATTTAAAAATATCCTTACAGGGCTTTCCTGGTGGCGCAGCGGTTGAGAGTCCGCCTGCTGATGCAGGGGACGTGGGTTTGTGTCCTGGTCCAGGAGGATCCCACATGCCACGGAGCGGCTGGGCCCGTGAGCCATGGCCACTGGGCCTGTGCGTCTGGAGCCTGTGCTCCGCAATGGGAGAGACCACAACAGTGAGAGGCCCGCATACCGCAAAAAAAAAAAAAAAAAAATCCTTACAATGTCTTAGGCAGATGATTTCATCTGTAGGCAAGCTGTATCTGTATAATATTTATATCAGTATATAAACATATATGTCTCCAGTAAGCATACACACATATAGAAACAAACACAGGTATATAAACTTAAGATACTGTTATGAGTAAAAAAGTATCCTAATCTACATGATGCATATTTAGAAGAAATACATAATTGTTTCTCTTTGCATGCTCCATTACCCTATCTGAGCCCAGATACAATGAAGTCCTTTTTCCTCCAAATTGTCTCACCCCACAGAAATGATGAAGGAAGTTAAAACCAAGGTCATCCTAAGTATGTCACGCCAAAAACAATGAGAATACACAGGCACTGGATACTCAAAGACATATATTCTAAAAGCAGAAACTTCTTTAGTAAAAAAACAGTAATTAATTTTAATTATGAGTTTTTAAAAATATGGATTCCCAGGCTTAGCGTTTAGAACATCCTACACCAAAATGAACAAATGAAGTTATGTGCAACTGGAAAAAGGGAAGAAGAGGGATAATGAAGAACAGGGTTTATCACAAACAGGACAGATACAGGGGAATATAGAAGCCATCTATACACTTTGAAAATCTCTATGGTAGAATAAAATCTAAAAAGAAGGAGAATGTTAAGATTGTACTGGCTGTTTTGTTATGACTAGGAAAGCATCTGAGAGACGAGAAACAAAGTAAAGTAGTCTTTCTCATTAAGCATATACTGCTGTGCTTAAATTTGTTTGAAGGAGCATAGAAATACACGAACTAGTACACTAGGTAAGATCCCCTCTTCCCCCCAGCCAGATTGCTCAGGCTAACACAAATCTGATTGATATGCAATTGAAATATGTGACTGTTTTTCCTGATGTCAGCTTTTAACACTGTTGAAATTAAAGGTGAGGTCCATTCTAATGACTCTTAGGTTGTTATTCATAAAGCTGTCCAAAACCTTTCAGGATAATAGCACCTGTGCTCTTCATGAGCATGATACAAAAATCCTTTCTTAATCTATTGATAAAAGGCAGCTAAATTAAAAATTCCTTCTTTGTTCTGAGCAGCGATAATTAAGCTCCAACCTAGGAGGAGCTACAAAGCACTTTATGTGGGGTTACTGGCCTACAGGACTTCTAACCTGGAAGCTGAGCATCTCACTCACCCCCTCAATTTCTTAAATACTCTAATTTTTATATCTCACTTGCCAAGCTTTATTTCAAAAAAGTTTTTATTAAGTTAATATTATACTAACATTAAAATATTTTTTAAAGAAAGAAATCCACAAACCTGCCATTATACTAAACTCTTTACTTTGTCCATAGGCATATATAATTTGTAGTTTTAATCACACCATACATAACATAATAGAGCCAGGCTTTTTTAAAGGCACTGCCTAACATTTCCTGACAACATGCTCTGTCAGACTTTCCCAGTGTGCTCATTTAATTAGTACTTATTATAAGAAATTCAGTATATGCTAGAGGCCCATCAAAACGTGAAAATTTAATGGATACCATAAAAAGCATACTTTACTTGGAGAATATCATTTTAAGACACTTCATAATTCCCATTTATATGCCACTTTTCATCTTACCTCTTCTCCAGACAGGTAGTAAGCTGAGATTAGTCCACCGACAAAGCGTATATTTACTTCAAAAACAGAAACTTCAGCATTCTGTGGAAACAAAATAAAGGAGGTTCATATATAAGTGGTAGTACACAATTGAGAAAAATATCACCGTGATAAAGTGCATGAAATATTTAAATTTTGTTCAACCCTATATGCTTGCCCAGAGAAATTTATACACAAGAGGGAAAAGCCCTCCCTTCTAACAGTGTCAAAACACATGTAAATAGATCAAAAAATTTTGACTCTTAAAATAACAATTATAAAAATATTTATAAAATGAAGTTATTTCCTCCCTCTATTCAACACTAGATACAATACTCAATATTCTTTGTGCAGATGCGACAGGCCCAGGACATTCTATTTTTCTATTCTGTGTTCTTTTATTTCATTCATTTGCCTGTTTTTCTTCCCGAAAGACCATTCAGACTCTTCATACTTTTGCTGGTAGTTCAACATTATTCTAGAATTCTTCCCACACCATTTTAAAGTAGCACAGCTAGAATGTAAATAGGATTTGAAGCTGGAGTGACTTGGGTTCTAGTGCTGGTTCCCAAATGTTCTGTCTGTGGTCTGGGATGATCACATTTCTCTGAGAAGAAATTTTATCTTTGCATAAAGGAGATTATAATAATATATGTTGTACCTTGTCAAAACAGCTCTTATATACATCAATAATAGCTTGCTTTTATTATTATTTACAAAGCTCTATATCCTGTGCTAATCTCTACATGGACTATGTCATTTAGTCCTATATCAACCGTGTGAAATAATTACTATTCTTACATCCATTTTACAAATGGAGAAACTGAGATTTATAGTGGTTACTATGACTTTCTTAAGGTCAGACAACTAATAAGTGGTTGAGGGCTTCCCTGGTGGCGCAGTGGTTGAGAGTCCGCCTGCCGATGCAGGAGACGAGGGTTCCTGCCCCGGTCCGGGAAGATCCCACGTGCCACGGAGCGGCTGGGCCCGTGAGCCATGGCCGCTGAGCCTGCACGTCCGGAGCCTGTGCTCCGCAACGGGAGAGGCCACAACAGTGAGAAGCCCGCATACCGCAAAATAAATAAATAAATAAAGAAGTGGTTGAATCAGGATTTAAACTTGACTACTCTGATTCCTGGTTTAGAGCTGTGATCCTGACTCCTATATCACCTCACATGATAACGCGTCAAGTATCTTTATTAATGGTCATATAATTGTGGCATATAATTAGTAATTATTGCCAATACTTTTATCATTTTACAATATTTGACTACTACATGGATCTGTCCTACATTCTATTACTAGATAATTTAGCACAGCTGACCTACAATAGATGGTAGGTACACTTTGTTACCGAACCAAACTTGGGTCCACTTGCCCACACACACTAAAGCCAATCTACTGACACCATGTTGTGTGTGGTAAAGGAGAGTACAACGTTTACTGTGGGGCACTAAGCAACAAGAATGAGCAGCACATGCTCAAAAGACCAGAACTCTCGATGGCTTTCAGGGGAGGGGTTTTAAAGGCAGTGTGAGGGAGGGGCTGCAGGGTGCGTGATCAGCTCGTGCACCATTCTCGGATTGGTTGGCATCAAGGTGAAATTTCAAGCGTCATCAACCTTCTGGTTTCAAATGGTCTAGGGTCTATGTGCTTGTGGTCAGCAGTTTTCATCTGGTGTGGGCCTGCTTCCTGTAAAAAGAACATAGGAATGTGTGCCAGGCCTTTAAGTATATCTTTCAGGGGACTGGGAACTCGGTGATTCTGCGATGTGGCTGATTTATAGTCTAACTTGTTACCAGTTTCCTGGCCCAACAGCTATTCTTTGTTTCTACATCTTCATATTTCCTGATCATTAACTCTTCAGCCAGCCTTTTGAGACTCAGGGGAGGCCTAGAAGACTAAAGAAAAAGCCTTTTGCTTCAGAGGATAGGGACACAGGGGCTTGTGTATGGTTTTAGCTTCAAGCTTTTGTTAGCTTCTTTTCATGTTTGTTGGGCCTACCCAGTAACTGTTCACTTTTGCCTGGTGTCAAACAATTCGCTGAAATCACAGGGGCTAACAGCAAACTAATATATGGAGTCACATATCCAGCAGATCAGCTTAGTCACAATCATCTGAGATATTATTTCCTTTAACTAACATTTATTAAGCAACTACTATGTGTCAGGCACTGTCCTAGGTTCTAGGGACATGGCAATGAAGACTCGTAAGGTCCTCAAATTCATGGAGTCTACATTTTAGTGGGCGAAAACAACTCCAGAAGAAAAAAAAGAGGTATATTTTCTTTAATTTCCACATGCTTTCTCTATAAAGGTATAAGGATCTAACAAATTAAAGCTAAGTAATTGCTTAAGTTAAAAAAATTTTTCAAAAAATTTCTTGCAAAAGGAAGTCATGAATATTACTTGGGAGAGACACATACTAGGCCAGACTTAGGCAAAAGCATCATAATATAAGACTCTGGTGAGTTCGTTCAATTGTATTTCATAATTTGTAATATGCACCTAATACAATTTGATTAAAGTACTTTACATGGGAAAAATTTATCTGTGATGTGTATTACTCTGAATGAGTATTACATAAATATTGGTAAAAGCTTTAATATTCCACAAAATTACTGATAAGGAAAGAGAAAGCGAATCGTTAATTTGTTTTGGCTCACACAGCTATGCTTCTTATGTCTAAAGGTAACAATGTCTAATAATAAAATCTAATAAATAAAACCCTCAAATCCTATCATTCTCAATTTGTACTTGTGTTTTTCAGTTTTTAAACCTAAGAATAGTCCTCCACGTTTCTGCCTACTAAGTCTGTTAAGATGATTTTATATTCTTATACTAGCTTTGGCTTCATTTGATACACATTCATTCTCTTTTCCTCCTATGAAAATTTTGGATAATCAGGACTTTTATATAAACATCTGATGAAAATTACTGCATGGTAGAAGACTGAGCCATGTCAAACACCATCATAAATACATCTCCAGCAAGACATCAGTCACCTACTGGGTACAACCAGTTATTGATCCAGCAATGTATTCTAGAACCTAAATTCTATTTATCTTCTGCTGTCTGTGAGATACTGAGAGACGGTTTTGCAAAGTGCCACGCTCAAGGTCAGTGCTCTGTCTTTTGAATTTCTCAGATCTAACGGTTTGGTGAGCCTATCCAAGAAGCAAATCTGGCTTGTTAGTGAATCCATACAGGTTCCCAGTTACTTGTGTTCTTGTCTTTCAAGATCTCGCTCAGGAAGTTACATCACCATTAGTTGTATTCAACAGTCATCATATCTACCTTCTTTTGAAAACCAAAATTACATTTGAATTCCCAGCATATAATATTTTCTACTTTTTTTTTCCCAAAGTTAAATCTAAATTATTTAGAAACCTTAATTTGAGAGCTCTTAACATTTTGGGTTATATTATGTTTTAGGTCAGCAGACTGAAATTTATACACTTCAGGTCACTCTTTACAGATCCTTTGATGAAAAACACTAAGAAGATAAAAACATAAATTGGCTGGCTCGACTGTGGGCAGCAGACTATCAAAACACTACCTTAGAGTCAGAAAGACCTGGGACTGAAGGTTGGTTCAGAAGCCCACTGAGTGCAAGATCCCAGGCAAGTCACATATTCTCTCTGAGCCTTGGTTTTCTCATTTGTAAAAAGGGACAGTGCATTTCGTACAAGGCGCTACAAGTCCATGAATGTAAAGCACCATGCACAATGCCTGCCACAGGTAAAGTACTCAATGAAATAAGTGCCATTACCGCTGCACAAAAGCTCAGCTTAAGTAAACCAATAAGGCCTAGCTTCCTCAGGGGTTCTTGGAAAATCAGAAACTCCAGAATCATAATCTTCTAAATACTAGAATGCAAACTGATATACCTTCTCTGACTCTCATGGGAGTCATGTTTCAAATCGTCTTTTGAAATACAGTATCCTGACCAAGCTTCCTTTTGGGCTTGATACAATTTATACGATATCTGGGTTTTCAAAAGTGAACTTCTACAATCTGAGGGTTTGAGGCCAATTTTATAAACTTCTGACTCTGATTTCCATTAAAATAAACTTATTAAATCTAAATGAAGATATGCATCCTATTAATATTCATGCAGCATTTTTTAAGATGTTCTAAAACTTTTCCAGTGACTTACCCTAATGACAGGAGAGGGGTTAGGGCAGGCAGAGAACAGTACGTAAAGGAGGGAAGCCCCAAACAGCCTGCAACACTAAAATCTTTTGGATTTATCTTAACAATGTAGATTTTGTAGTCTCCTTCAATCTGTGTTTGTTTTAAATGAGATTAAATCCCTTAAATCTTTAAGTAAGGTCACATGCCAGGAATATGCCCCACGTAGTCCATGGCTTCTAGTACATAGCTGTATGTGAGCACCAGTTTGAGAAGCAGATCCAGTCTTTGTTTAAACTGCACGCACCTGCTAGTTAATTTCACAATTGATGAGCAAGTGGAAGGTGAATATTTTTGGCTTAAGGCCTACCCACAAAACCATGTGGACTGGAGAAACTGCTCTTTCACTTTGAGTTTCCTCTACCAACAGCCTTTGAATCAAAGAACACACTTAACCAGAATCATACATAAATTTAATAAAATATATGGTATAATTAAGTTTACATCTAAAATCAAGAGGTGAAATCATGGAAAAACTAGGCTTCACTACTTATCTCTCATATTGCTTTAGGTGTCTTAGACTGATAATTTCCACCTTAAGTTTATCCCTTTCTTTAGTATTGCTGTCCTCTGGCTTACTATATGTATATGTAAAATTATGAGATAAAGTGATAAAACTCGCTAAAATGGAAAAAAGTTTAATTCAATAAACCATTTTGAATGGCTCCCTCCCCCCACCCTTCACATTATCCTCCATCTCTCTACTGGGAAAGGTGTCCTTCAAATAAACAGATCAGGAGCTCACAGGCATGAAGAATCTAACCATATCCAGACAAGAGGGAAAGTGAACACTTCAAAATCCCTGTTTCAACCTGAGTGCCTAAAAGATCAACCTCTTACAAGATAGTATTTTAAATAACTCAGAGAAAT